AGGCTGTCTGGGTTTGCCTTCCACAGAGCCAAACACATTGTCAGCACTCAATTAGATATGTATATATGGTTTCATGCTGACTCAGAGCTCAAAGATAGCCACTATTTTTTTTTCTTGTTGAGCATCCCTGCATAGAGACAGCAAGCTATTTTTACCTGAACCTTTCTAGCATTATTCCTGATAGGAAAAAATAAACCCTGTGTGCTTGAAGTCAAAACTGAAAGAAGGGATCTTTTTCTGGAGGTGCCTGTGATCCTTTCAGCCTTCCAGTAACTGAGAAAATGCAGCCTCTGCATGTGCCTCTGTGTCAATGCCTCTCTTCCTCCTTGGTTATACTGTGTGGATGACAGAAGTCCCTCTCCGAGACACAAAGGATTGACCAGTCCCCACAAGAAAAGAGCAAATGAGACAGAGGCAACAGTGTCTTTGGAATCAAGGGGGAGAAAGCTGATGGGTCAGAGCTGTTTCAGGGAATGGTTGCAGTCAAGCTGGTAAATTTTTGTTTGGAGAGAAAGAAGAGAAAAATAAGAACAATGAAGTCTAGTTGCAGAAGGCAGGAGCTTTTTGTGACTATTAAATATAAAGTCTGTGGTTTCTCCCTCTCCACTAATCTCCTTTGCTTCCATTGTCTGGGGGTTTATTTACTTTTCCACTGAGTACCCAAACAGCTCTTGAGAGGAAAAAGTGTGGGCTGAATGGCAGCTCCCTGGCCATAATCCCTGAATGATGGCTCAAGCTCCAGTACATGAAGTAGGCAATAAAGTCTGGTGAGGACGCTTTCCTTCTCTGGTGTGTGTTTGGGTGGGAAGTGTAAGATTTTTATATTTTTTTTTAAGCTGCACATTTTTGTAATTCCAGCCATAGACAGAAAAAGCTGGGCAGTGCTGGCTGAGAAGGTGCTTGTGCACCTGTACAGGGTGGGACAGGCATTCAGAGGCAGAAATAGAGACCAAGCCGTCCTGTTTGGGCAATTACACTCTTCCTGCATTCTCACCGCAGTCGGCATTTCAGTGGCTAAGCCACAAAGGGAGGTATAAAGACAAATGTGATCTCCTTTTGAAAATACCTGTACTTAAAAGAACCTCCCTCCTGGTGTGGCATTCATTATGTGTCTGTTTATTCATCCTTTGCTCACATGATAATTTTCTCCTGCAGAAATTATCTCAGCTCCACCCAGTGCTGGGACTGAGCCACTTCTGGCACTGTTGGAGATCATTTCCCAAGAGAAACCAGCTGTGGAGCATACTCAGTGGCAACCCACATAGCTATACCTGCCCACAGCCCCTCTGAATGCCATCACTGCCTTTTCCATAGCTCATCCCAAATCCCAGTGGATTTCTAACTCTGCCCTGGCTTGCACTGTGTGTCTTCTCGAGAGCTGGTAATATTCTGAGATGGCTTTAAGTGTAAATGGGAAGAGGAGCTGTTGATTGGAAAGAGGCAAATGAAATGCCAGCCTCTGTCACAGCGCTCTCCTAATAAAAAAGATTTGTGGCAGTGTGGTGAGCCGAAGCTGCAGCTGCTGTGGTGTCACTTGGATATTAATTGGGGAGTGGGCGAATGCAAGGAGCAGAGAATGCTGTGGAAGAGGGGAGAGGAGCCAGACAGAAGAGGCTGGCACAAGGGCCAGGCTCTTTTACAGGAATGCACCCCTCTGCATTATGCTGCCAGCCACCTTTCTCTACAAATTAATCATGTTTCTGCCGCCCCTCTCCAACTGAACATGCTCGCAGTTTTCTGTCTTCTGGATAAGATCTCTCCTTCACAGCGTTTAGCTGTCGCAGAACTTTAACTCTTGGTCTAGAGTAACTGGGGTTTCTGTCCCACCTGGTAACACGCCCTAGATTCATCCACCTCTCTTCTGCCAACCCAGTGTGTTGTTCGGGAGTCTCGCCTGTCATTTGCAGGAGTAATTGCAAGCATTGATTCATGAGAAACGCCTGGAACAGGCAGATCCTTTTGACAGACCACACAGCCATCATATTCTGCATTTATTTGAGTCAATCAACGCTCTGATGCATATTTGGGTCATAAATACTCTGATATAAATTGCATTTCTTATTATGACAGCTGTGTTCCATTACCTATTATTTATTAGGTTCTGTTGTCCTTTCATTTTACACCTTGTGGAGCTGTCAAGTCAGCTGCTTACCAGTGACAAAGCTCACAGCTCAGTTTAGAATCTTTCAAAAATAAATTCTCTGAAGGGATTTGAGTAACAGCAGGATGTATGTTGTTGGAAAGGCATAGGACAATCTTTTTTTCATTTGTTTTATTGGAAAGAGGAGGTTTGTGCTTTTTGCCCTGTTTTTGCCCAGATTCCAGAATTAGTCTTTGCGTTTATGATCCAGAGGTCATTGAAGCTAATAATCCCACTGATTAATGAGAATTTTGGATCACACCCTCCCTGTCTCAAAGCTGAATTAATCAGGTTATTTGAAATGGTGGGATGCTGACTTGGATGTTTCTAATTTTCCCTTAGAAGCTTTTTAGCTTCATGTCTTTTTACATCATAAAAATGGCATAATACCTGATTCTGAGATGAATGAATTTCAGTGTCCTTCCAAGGGTAAGGTCAAATTGCAATGGGCACACTGCTCAGTAAGAATCAGAGTCATTTTCTACTTCTCATTCCCAATAAACAGTCACGTATCCTTTGTGCCAGGTTGCTGCACCAGCTTTGCAAGGTGCCAAGCACTTTGGTGTTAATTCAGGAAAGCACTTAATCATGGAATTGATGACTCTAAAATGCTTAATATAAGCATGTGCTTAAGTGCCTTGTTGGCTTGGGGCCTGTGCAGATGCACCCTTGCAGAATTTGTAAGCCACTCCTGGTCTGCTAGAGCCAAGTTCACTGGAGATCAAGGGTTTGGGGGATGTGCAGCTCCGGGAGCTGGACTGCGCTGCAGGGATGGGTGTTCAGGACAGAACCCCCTAATGTGGGGAAGAGAGGGTTTGCCCAGGCAGTCCCTGGGAGCCTGGGTCCGCGGAACAATGGGGCTCTTGGGCGACGCCAGGCACTGCGTGTGCCAGCTGAGAGGGAGCTGAGAGGGAGCCTAAGTGAGCCCGGTGCTGGAGGCAGAATGCCGCAGCCCTGCCTGGCAAAGCCGGGCTCTGTACCCCGGGCGTCCGTGCTGCAGGGCAGGGCCAGTGGCACTGCCCCATCTTCCCAAAGGTATCAGCCCCACGGTCTCACATGGGGACTGGTTTCCTGGCCATAGAGTGCTAAGCTGGGTTTCAGACTAGTTGTGTAGTTCCTCCGTAAAACGCAAGAAATGCAAACACTGCGTTAAGTGCTCGTAGTTTTATCCAACAGGTTTTGTTTGCACAAGGATTTTGGGGTAGATGCAGGGACTGAGTGTTCTGCCTATCAATAGGGTTTGTGTGCTAGCTTAACAGCAATATTGTTCATAGCATTACTATTGAAATATGCGTGACATAATGGTTTCATGTGCTTCTTTTCATGTCTTAACATTTCTGTATTATCTCAATTTATTTTACTCTAAATGTAAAAGGAGTAAATCTGTAATTCCCATCAAATATCACAGTGCAAAATTGATATACACACAGTCATATGGCTCACAAAAAAGAGATGCAAATGGATATGTATTATTTATAAAGCAGCTTTGGCATCTTAATATACTAAAAAAGAAGAGACATTTAGATCATTTCATAGTTCAGCATTCTGCATGTTTTTGACCTATTGTATATTATCATCCATGAAAAATGCATCGTTTGGGCCTTAACCACTTTAATTTTATGTGTGCATTCCAACCAAAGGGGTGTGTGTCCTCTGCTCTTACCTTTTTTTTTTTTTTTTTCCTATTCTATACAATTAAAAGTAGATGGCTGGGGTTAAACAATGCCAAAAGCTCACCCTTCCTTCCAAGAACTACCTGGTAATTAATGAGAGGCATAACTCTGTGACTGTAGAGGGATCTCCAGATATTCTAGCGTCCCACCCAAATCCTGGGTTTGCTGAACTCAAGGCAGTCAGTGAAAGTCAAAAAGTTCATACTGCGTGGCAGTAAAATCAATGTAGTTGCTTTCATCCAGATCTCTGTTGTGAACAGACAAAAGCCAGATATAAATCAGCTTAAAACTTGGCCATTTCTGCCAACTTCCAAATTAATCATGAATATAGTGTGAGTGCCTCATTTCAGGTGTTTTCAGTGGTGTCACTGGCCAGACCGTTTTGAGCTAGGCTGGAGGAGTGAACTCTGAAGTTGAGGAGATTTTGCGGAGGTTATTCTATCAAGAGCCTCATTCCTACATGACAGCAGGTCTTAGGTTAATGCGTTGGGTTTTTGTGGGGAGAAGCAGAGGGAGAGGTGAAGTTGTCTTTCAGATGAGGACGTTCCTGGCCTGTTAGGGCTTTGAAGGTTAAAACTCTTTCTTTTAATGAAACTGTTGCTCAGTGATGGGTTTAAATACAAGTTCAGTGCTGGTGAAAGGACCTAAGAGGAGACAGTAACCGCCTAATTACAGGGCTGGTGCCAGTAGGGTGACAGTAGTGTTTACTGGTTTTCCTCACTGTTTCATGGTTGCCTTAAAATACTGCTAGGAAGGATGAAAGAACTTAAGTTTCTATGGCCTGATCTCTGCTGCAAGAACCAAAAGGAGCCCTTGGCTTGCTTTCTGTTTGCTTGAAACTCCTTCCAACCTCCAATTCACCTTCTCAGTGATACTTAGGCAGAAGCTCTTAATTTATTCTGTCCTGGTTTTGCCCATCCCCAGATTCTGAGCTCACAGTGGACTGTGAGGGGCTGGTGCTTTCAAATGTAATACTTGTCTGAAGTTTCTCTGGGAATGAAAAATCTGTTTGATTAAGAAAACGCTGACTTCTGAAGCCTATCAGACTGCGCAACTTTATGTCAGGGCTGCCGAATGTCTAATTAAATGGAACTGCTCTCTAGAGGATTTGGCTTGCAGAAAATTAGTTTTCATGTTCTTGGCCTGATGTTTATTAAACGTTTCTTTCCTTTTTCTCTCCTTTGCAGTTTTCATCTGTAGTTTCATGGTTGCAGCGCCTATTTTTGGTTACCTTGGTGACCGTTTCAACAGAAAGATTATTCTCAGCTGTGGGATCTTCTTTTGGTCAGCTGTCACTTTTTCAAGCTCCTTCATCACTGAACAGGTAAGATCTTTGCAAAGGTACTTTTCAGGGTGTCCTGAAAAGATGGACAATATGTTCCGGAAAAAATCCCCACTCCCCATCTCTGTGTGCTCAAGGGGAATATATCCCTGTCGTGTGTATTTAATGTATAGCACGTTGCATTATCTGACCTTTTGTGGGTGAAGTGTGATCTGTGTAACAGTGTTTTCTTAACTGTGCAAGCTGTTATTCTTTGGTCATGCACACTCATAAAAAATAACAGGTGAAGCATATCTAGGCAAGAGTTTCTGTTGATATAAGGGCTTTGTTTTGAGGGAAATCCTAAAGAAACTTGAAAAGGCTTTAAAAAAGACTTGGGGAGAAAAAAAAAACATGGCTATGTAGTGGTTCTCTGGTCTTCCGATATGCAACAGAAGCCACTGGAGTTTGTTGGGAAGTCTGCTCGTGGCTTGTGGAATGACAGAATGCATCCAGCAGTGGCTTTACACATGCGCTTTGTTTCTTATCCAACAAAGGCAGTGAGGGTGGATGATAGCATAGAGATTAGATGTAGTTTCAGCTCCTTTAATGCTAGTTGATGAATATGTCTTGGGAACTGATGATGGAGTTGTCAGGCTCACTTAATTTTGTCAAGCTCTGCACAGCATCCCTCACCTGCTTTCAGGACAGCCGCATTACCCCGTTTTGAGGACTCCTCATTGCATTAATTCTCTTGCCTGTCAGAAGCACTTGGAGGAAACAATGATCTGGCAGTTTCTGGGGAAAAATATCCTCTTGTTTAAATCATATTATAGAGGAGGTTTAATTGCTGCAGGTGGCAACATTCCTGGAGAGACAAATCACAGCTCTTGGCATCGTCAGACTGATTTCCCCGAGGGAGGCAAGGGCATTCCTCATCCTTTCTGTCCAGCTGCGTTCCAGAGATTGCAGCATTGTGGTCACACCTAAAGAATGACAACCAGGGACTAAACCGCTCCGCCCTGCTCCCTCCTGCCCACACACATGCTCTGCAGTTTCTAATAAAAGAGAATTTCCACCTAAAGTGGGCAGTGGCAGTCACATGTCTGTCTGGCTTTTGTGTTGGATTGATTTTTGTTGCATTTCTAAAGAAAAATGCATATGGCCAAATGTAGAAGCCTTTAACTCAGTAAATTGTTCTGGTTTATAATTGGGCAGGAAGCATCCTTTCCAGAGAAAGTATATATCCCATCTAAAACCATCTAAAATGAAGAAGGTGTTTTGGTTTCCTTCCTTTTTTTTTTTTTTTTTAATTTGTCTTCATAACATTCTGCAAAAGCAGCAGTGATCAGAGCCCAAAGAGGGAAGCATTTTATGAGGAACCAGTTACTTGCTTATAAACATTTCTCATGTTATGAACACACATTCAGGCTCAGGTTCTCGTCGCTCTCTCTGCAAAAGACGTAGTCCCGTAGTTGCAAGTAGGGGAACACTGGAACTGGGCTGATGTAACTATATTTTTAAAGTTGATTTTCAGTTGAAGGATTGGGGGCGTATTAGCTGAAGTAGTTCAAGGATTAATATATGTGGTCATCAGTATACAGGAGCTCAGAGTGGAAGTGGCATATTTTTAGCCAAAGAGAGGGAGAATAATGTTTATAAAGCTGGAATATGTTTGGAATCCAAACCCCAATGTCTTGAAAGTCACAAGAAAGCCAAGATCAAAATACCCTGACCTGTGTTAATTCCTTCTGGATTTGCATCAGTACTAACTCTGTGCTCAAACTACAAGTTTGGACACAATCTCCTAAATACTGAGAAGAATCCCTTGTCCTGATTTTATTGTGTTCCTCAACTCTCCTGGAAGACTTATTTATTGAGCCAGAGGTCTCATGCCCAGCTCTTGTTATCTATTCCAGAAGATAATGGAAGATTTTGCAGCTGCTGTGTGGATGGGCTTTACCCAGGGGCTGCAGCAGTTGAGCAAGGTTATAAGAATAGTCCCAACTTCACAGGGTATCCCTACCACGTTGGCATCCTTTTAGGAGGCCTGATCTTTAATTGGGAAGTCATGCCACATTGAACAGGGTGAATTCCTGAAGTGCTTAATGAGAAAGAGTCAGAGAAGAGCTGATGCAGCTTTTTTTTCTGTATGCAGTGACTAAGCATTTTACGTGATCTTTCTCTTTTAGGTTTGGTCTGTTTGTCAGGGAGGAAGCCTAGGAGCTGAAATATGAAAAAACTCTTTGCTGGTACAAATAAAAGCAGTAGTAAGACTGCTGTAACTAGAGAAGTGCTCACATCCAGGTCAACATGAAAAGACAGGACTAGAAGGAGCAAGTTGGCACAGGCTGAGCCCACTGAGAAATTGTACAGAAAACTCCTTCATGTGGTGACAGCAAAAATACTGAACTAGAAGAGAAACAATAGCCATTCAGGAGAAATAGCAAACTGTGTCTTCAGGGATTGCCTTTCTTCAGATTTTGATAGTGTCTAGCGCCTCATTCATGCTATCGCTGTGTAATTAAATAGAGTACATCTCTGCATAGTTCAAATTTGGAGTGTAAATGGAGAGAGCTTAACAAAGATGGAAAGCAGCTACGCATCTGGTGGACTCTGAAGGCACCCAATTTGTAGGTTTTCAGCAGTGTATTGGTAATATTAGTTCCTGGCTAAAATTTGGACACTTGAAGGAAAGCAGTCAAAATGCTACAATTTGAGTGAATATCTAGATTATTTGTAATTTATTGTGCAAATAAGTATACAGAAAAGGACTTATTAATGCTTATCTGTGCTATTGTCAAGTTGTTCGGTAAAGAAATACCCAAGTGGCAAGAAAAGGACATGGAGTGAGAAAGTACCTCAGAGAGATGTATTTTGATCTGGAAAAAAGGATTGGAGCATGGTGAAACAGTCATCTAAGATACTATCTAAATGCTATTTCATCCTATTTGGGTTAAAAAGATAGTGACTGAAAACTGGCAGATAAAACAGAGAATTGGATATATATACCTTGTAGACATGTAGTCGCTAGAGAGCACTGCATTAAGGTTTGTAACAACTTATTAAAATATCCTCAGTTATTTGTTACCAAATGTCTTTGGGCTTTTAACATGGAATAATGATCATCAAATAAATGAAGACTGAATCTCTCCTCTGGTAGTAGCTACTAAACAACTAAATGATAGGGTCTCACAAGGAAAAAAGAAAACCAAGCCAAAATTTAAGGATAATTCCGTAATATATAGGAGGTGATAGTTACAGAAAAGAACAATGCATGAATTTCATGTACAGCAAAATAGAAAGAGGACAACTGGATACCTGAATGTTTGGTTACTGTTCATGAGGTCTTAAATTACATTTAAAACAAATTGAAATAAGAAACCCAAATAAATACGGTATCGGAGAATAATTCAATAAATACACCTGGTTTCATGGATAAAAATAGCTAATGATAAATTTAACTAAAGAAAATCATTGGAAGTAACAAGACTGAGATAATATTGAAAAGGTCACTTTTTATTCTGGCAAATAATATGATTTGGTAATTTATACTAGTGCACAATTTCTCTATAGAACGATAAGAAATGAGTCCTCCACTATGTTGTCTCTGGTACTTGCACATTTCTGCTCTATAACACTGTTTAGCACTTTCTAAAATAAAAGTTGCTTAAAACAACCATTAACAAACTTGTTCGTTAATCTGAAATTAGTTAAAGTTGATACATATTTAGACCTATCTCTAGATTAACTCCATTTATAGAAACTTCAATAAAGTATGTATATATCTTAATTTGTGTTTTTTAAGTACAAACACCTGCTTAGAAATTACCTCCCTTTATGCATGTCTTTTAATCAGTTCTGCACCTGTGGGTACACAGATTTTGGTACTTTCACCTGCAAACCCCTTTCTTTTGTTGCTTTTGGCTTTTGGCAAGCATTTGGAGGAAATGCTTGCTGGTTGTTCGTTCATGTTCTGTAATAAATCAGCAAAAAATAAGTGAGCCGCTCTGCAATATAAGGTCATATCACAAATAAATGCACTGAGCACACAATCTTCACGGAGTTTCTTTACCAGGATATATTTCTATCCACACAAAAAGCTAAATATGTGTCTGTCTTCCTCTCTATCAATATAAACCCTGATTTAATAAGTAACCAGTTTTTTCTCTAGGTAGCATTTTGATGAGCACAGTGCCTGATTGCCTGTGTTGTGGCTGATCATCTTGAGCTGGTTTATGGTCCAGATGTCACTGGAAAGAGTCTGTAATCCCAGTTGCACCGTGTCTCTCTTTCTGAACAGTTTCATGTGACGCAACTTGGTTATCGGGAGTGATCAGGCCACGTGCTGAGAGTTGCTTTCTGGCTGCGTGGATATCCACATCTATTAGTCATAATAATAGTTCTTACCGCTGACTGTTCTGGCCAGAAATTTGTCTTAGATGAAACCTTGCTTTTGGTGGTAGCCTTCCTGCCCCGCTCAGCACAAACTTCTAAGAGATCAGGACCGCTCTCCCTCGTGGGCAGACACCAGTATCTTAAAGCAAGAAAGAGCTTGGAGGTGGAAAGTTGCAGACTGTTCTCCAGTCTTGTGAAATACTGCTATTTCCCATGTAAATATCTCAAATACAGCATATTTCTGTGTAAAAGGGATGCTGGTTTAGAGATGAGCAAAGTATTCTGCTAAGTAGTTAGGCTCCACTATTCTGGGAGACCAAGTGTACCTAATAATCAACCAGACCAGGCTGTGGTAATGTGGGTTTGCTGTGAGACATCAGAGTTGCAGATGGCAGAAAGTTTGGAAACGGAAAAGCAAAGAATTAACAAGGTAAATCAGGACTGTGCTTTTGAATCGTCCAGTTCTTGATAGATGTTTCTGTTTAAATGTTGATATAACTGACATGATAAAACCTTTTTGCTCCCACTGCAAGTTAATCTGGATAGGTATTTCTACTAGTGCTTATTTTCTTTTCCTCTCCTTTTGATTTATCTCTGAAAGCGGAAGCAAATAGCCCACTGTGGAATTCCCGTTAGCCTGCAGTGCTTGCTGAAGTCCTGTCTTT